GTGTGGGACGCTCCCTTCAGACTGAAGAGACTCGGTTCCTCTCTCCGTGCCTGTGAATCCCGGGATACTGAAGGTGCTCTGTTCTTGCAGGCCGTGAGGACTCCTCGGCCGGATACTGAGACTCCTGTGCTCCAGAGGGGGAGGTGCTCGACTCCAGCGAGGTCACTCCGTGGGGGTGTCCCGTTGGGTCGTGGGGTGCGGCAGCAGGTAAGGAGCGGGTCCCCTCGTTGGCGGGTTGATCGTGGAGGAAGACTGTCCCGTCTTCCTCTCCGGGCCCCAGTCCCGCTCTCTGGCGGCTCTCCCGTCTCCCGCTGGACCGCAGCCCCGGTGTCCCGGTGTGGACTGCACCCTGGGGACCCCGAGTCTGTCCGTCTGTGGGGGGGGTTCCCTCCCTCTACCACAGGATCCGGGAGGAAGACTGCTGTGTGCTGAGGGATTTGGGGGTGGGGGTGATGTTGTAACAGACGCAAGGACCCCGAAATAAATTGACCACTTTTCTAGAGGAGTGAAGCTGTTTTTATTCTGGACACGATGGCTGTTTTGACCAGTGGTGTGAGATGGGGGGGATCTGGTTTGGGAGGGACAGGGTTGGCCCATGTTGGGGTGTACCTTCTGTGGTAAAGTGGGGTGCAGGCTGGTGGGGGGGTACACAACCTAAGACCGTTCCCAAGGGGGTCAGATTTGAGATTTGAAGGGCAGAGTTGGCCGGGGAGCTCTTGAGCAAGGGGACCCCAGGTCTGAGGAGAGAGAGAGGGGGGGGCCCCTCCAGCCCGGGACTGCTCTCCTGCCCCCCTGTGGCCATGCCATGGAACAGTGCTTGGTGCCCCAGAGCAGAGAGTCCCGGAGGGCGCTGACCCAGTGCAGGGGCATCCGATCCAGCTGGAGGCTCAGATCGGCCGAGGGGCGCCCCCTGCAGGTGGGTGCTGGAGCCCCGTGGGGTGGTCGGGGCTGGAGCAGCTGCAGGAGCGAGAGAGACGGGCTCCCGTCTCTCCCCTCGTGTTGCTGGAGCCTGACCGGCCCTTCCTCCCCTCGCAAAATCTCCGGTGGTTGGAGCAGCCGATGTTGTGCTGCTGGTGGGGGGCCGTGCAGCCCGAGGGACGAGGAGGGGTGGGTGACCTGTGTGTGCGCAGGGGGGGTGACTGGGGTGTCTCTGCGTCGATGGGGCTTGAATCGGCAGCAGGGAAGACCCCCTCCTTTCCCCTGGGAGAGTGGCTGGCTGGGGATATTGGAGGGGGGGCTGTTACTGTCCCCTTCAGGTACCTAAAAATCTTATTATTGCTTGACACAGAAATTTGTCTGGGATGTAGAAAATGGACTAGAAATCGAGGCACGAGGTGGAAAGGGGAAGTCAGACAGCTGGGACAGACGCCCACAGCAGTGTCTCGCCTCGCTGGGCACCAGCGTCCCTGTGCTGTGATGGAGACTATCTCTCTCGTCTCTGGTTTATATCCCGCGGGCTGGTATTTTTGTCCCGTGATGAAACGCGCTCTCTCTCCCGCGCGGAGGGCTGGGGCTCAGGTCTGTGAATGGCCACCTCTGCGGTAGGCAGAGCTCTCAGCGTGCTGGGGCTGGATCATGACGGGGTGTTGATCCTGTCCTCGGAAAGGAACAGGGAGGTGATGCAGCCCGCAAACACGCGACTCCCACGCTCTGGTCAAGGCCCGACTGGGAGGGACTGTTTTTCTCGGGCCAGCAGGTCCATCTGGTGCTCTGAGGTATTAACCCTTTGCCCCCTCACGATCTGGGCGTGGGCAGTGTGTTCCCTGGGCAGAGGGGAGTGTGTGTTTAGAGTCCTGAACAGTATCGCGAAAGGAGACATCTGCCTCTGTCCCTGCTGGAGTTTCCAAGTTCCTGTGTCCTGTTGGCTCTGCCCAGCCTTCCCATCATGCCCTTCACCGCTGAGCGATGCCGTGTGCTACCCTAACCACGCAACGCCCAGCTCGGAGCCATTTCCTCCTCTCTGATCGAACCCCAGCCCGCCTCCCCCTGCTCTGTCTGTGCTCTGGACTCTGTACAGGCACTAGGCCAATTCACAGCGCATTAGAGAAAGAAGGGTTCAAACAGCCACTGGCGTTTTCTGTCCCCGCAAGGGGAGTCTTTAATTTTAAAAGGGGTTTAAAAATAACCTCCGTCCAGGAGGTACACAAGTACCAAGTGTTCAGTCACTGTTGGCAATCGGAGATATTCTTACAGGGTGGAAGATGGGGAACAGCTTTCAAATGAAATGAAACAAAATAAATAGGTATGGAAAAGTAAAACAAAAAAAAAGCAAACACTGATCACATGATCAAGGGAAAAAAAACTACAAAGACCAAGACACTTTGCTCCTGAGCCAGGATCACTATGGGAGATGTAGTCTGATTTGTACTGATTGCCTAGAGGTAAGGACAGTTATGCCTCTGCCATAAAACCCAGATCCCATTTTCTTTTTGGAACAAAAACAAATATATTTATAAAAACACTGGTGCCACCATTCTCCAAATAAAACCTTAAATATAAAAAGAGTCATCGTTGAAGTTCCCCAGCACGTGGCTGTAGTACCACCTCTGGGCAGCTGGGGGGCGATGTCTTCCTCCCCCGCGTCTACTTCTGCACTGTGAAATAGTTCCCTCTTCTGTAGACGAGAAGGGCCAGCGTGCTCAACAACACCGCCGACAGGAAGCCAACAGCTACAGCCAGACCAACCACTACACCTGTGGAAGAGAGGTAAGATCAGGTCACTATATCGACCATAGACAGTGTCTTGCATGAGGAATGTGTCTTCTCTCAGACCCCAGCTCCTCTCCATGAGAGACACACACAGGGAGAGAAGCTGGGGTCTGCGAAAAGACTTAATTCCTCATGCAAGAAATTGTCTATGGTCGATAAAGTCAAGGAATCCTACTCCGTTGGGCCCCTGAGCGAGGCCCTTCACCCCAGCTGCTCCAGGGGTGCTGTATAATTGGCCGACCCTGCGCTCTGACCCCCAGCTTCTCTCTCCCTGTCTGCGTCTCTCACGGAGAGCAAGCTGGTGTTTATGAAAAGACAAACTCCTCATGCGAGACTGTATCTGGCCAATAAAGTGATCTGATCTAATCCCTTCGTGACACTTTATTCTTGGACGGTGTCATTCCTCGTGACGTTCAGTTTATCGGCCGAGAGTCCTGTTTCTGCTGGATTCCCCAGCCTGCTTTGTCTCCAGCGACACAGGGCCGCCTCGCCTCAGGGGGAGGTG